GTAATCTTTACTAAGGTAGAGTTAACGACTGAATTTAATAAGATTTTATATATTTTACTTTGTAAACTCAATTTTTATTTGAAATAAAAAATTGTAATTAGTTCAAATAGAATGCAAGTTTTGAATTATGTAGAAGGCTCCAAGTTTTTTGTTGCGTTCTTGCTGTTAAAGCTTCTTGACAAGCTTTTGTTTCGGTTATTAAGGGCTGTTTTAATTTTCTATATACATTGTAAAAACTATCATTTTGAATATTTGAAAAAACAATATTTAATAATAATTCAAACATTTTTTTGTCTTCTGCAAGTTCAACCTTTCTAGATTCAATTAATTTATTATGAGCATCAAGACTTAGTTCTATATTATAATCATATTCATTTTCTAAACCTTTTAATTCATCTAATAAATTTTCAAGGGCCTCAGTCCAAGAATTGTTAGTAGAGTTAAGGCTAGTATAGATTTTGCCAAAGGAGATAAAAGGATAATCATTCTGGTATTTTGTTGTAGCATATTGAGGAAATGAAGGATTTTTATTTGTATATTTTTTAACAAGGTGCTTACACACCAAGTAAGTATTATTTACAAATGCAGGGTATGAACATACCCAATTGTTAATATTTGTTAAGTAATTGTCTTCATTACTAATTTCTTTTTTCAATGCTTTTTTCTATTCGACTTTGAATGTATCCCACCAAGATGGTAAATCCTGCTTATGGTTATATCTTTGCCAGGTATTAATTTGGTCTGGAATTAATTCTCTTGTCAAAATCTGTGTTAGACAATCTAAACAGGATCGATTATAGGTATATTTATAAGCGTATTTTATTACTTGCCAGTGCGATTCTACAAGCATTGTAGTTCTTGCTAATGGAATCGCATTTGAAAAGGAAGCCAGGCAAAGATATTCTAATCATTTTTATTGTACCAGTTCGACCACAAATAGCTTCATGTATGTATAAGATTTTCACTTTTGCAATAACTATAAATTTCTTTAATGCTTTCACGATATATCTCTGCTGAGGTAAGAAAATTTTTTTATTGATTGGTATAAGTGGGTGCAATAATAAATGTTTATGAACTATATTTAAAATGTTATCTATGTTTTCTTTTGAACATAAAACGCCTTCATCATTTTCAGGAACTCAGGTGATATCAATAAAATTAAATTGGTTATTTGCTTCTTTCACCTTTTGTGTTGTATATTGGCTGCATTTATTTTTTTTCTTTTAATTTTCTGCTTATTGTGCGTTTAACATACCATAGGCATAGCTATATCTTTATTTTCCAATCTCAGGCTTCTTGCGCAGCTGCTATTTGACCTGTGTCTTTGTCTATAAGAACAAAAGTTGGTAAAATACCCTTTCTTTTTAATGATAAAAAAAAATCACAAAGAACTTTTAATCGAGAATAAACTTTATTTTTAGGGTTTTTAAGAAAATCTTTTGGAGCTATAAATGTATCAACGTATAGGTACACAAGTGGAACCCCATATTTATCAAAATTTATTAATATAGCGAAAAGTTCAAATTTTTGTTGATTGGTTTTGTAGGTAGAATCAATAATTATTTCATTAATATCTGCTTTTTTTATAAAGTCATTAAAAGGAGTAAGAAATCCTAGGGCTCGAACAAAATTGTTTTCTATATGTAGTAGAACTTTAAATCCTTCATTAATTAATTCTTGTTGTTTTAAAAAATTTAGAGATGAAAGGAGTTGGTTGGATGCTATAGAGATATATTATAGTGCGGAAAACTTTGAAGTCCAATAATAAACTTGCTTGTAGGTATGTGTTACCAGATCTATAAGGTCTTTCTTGCAAAGTCATTTATAGATTTCAGTTTTTTTAAGGTTTAGGTTTATATGTTTAGATATCCACGCTATAGTGCTTTCAGGTAACCTAATTTTACGATACGTTGGTTGTTTGTGAGGAATCAAATGCTGAATATCAACCTTTGCTTGATGTAAATTGAAGTTAATGTTAATTGTAATTTTTTTTTCACATGCAAATCGGTTAATAGGGGGTTTGATTTCGCTTATTCTTTTTGGTGGTTGATCAGGTGGATTTTTATGTTGTTGGTCCTCTTTTTGAGTGCATCTGAGATATACTGATGCTCGTTCCAAATTATTTTTGTGAATGTAAACTTTTCTAATTTCCCAATAATAATAGAATCTAGCTTCAAGAGGTAAAAGAAAGAAATTGGCTACCTTATGGGCTTTTGCTTCTTAATCAATATTTAATAATTCAGAATTATCGATTAATTTATTTTCAAACTCGAAGGTTTTGAAAAATCTACTTTATTGTCTTCAGTATTTGCAAAATGTGTTGAAACTAATTCTTCTAATTCATCTAAATCATATAGGACACTATCATCATCCTTGATTATCTCATTCAAATCACTATCTTGATAACATTCGAGTCTATTTAAAGTTTCTGAAGATGTGAACTTATTATCTTTATTTACTTCTAATGTTGATTTTTTTCTTTTTTTTTTAGCACAATCATTACAATTGGAATATTTTGATTCTTCACCTCTAGCATCTTCATTGCCTCCATAAGGTCTAGTAAATTCAATATGATTTTTATGCTTATAACAATAAGAACACATTTTGCTTTGAAGATTATTTACGATATTAATTGTTTGGTCTAATTGAGACATTGTATGATTATACTTTGGGGCATTAATCAAGGTAATTTACGATACTTTGTAAATGTATTTTACACGCTTATATAGTTTTATTTTTAATAACAAAAAAATTTTTTTATATGCAATTGACATTTAGATAAAGAAAGGAATTCTATAAATTACTAATATAAAACCTGAAATAAGCTTTATCAACTTTTATCTTTTACTATATACTATCTAGCAGTTTACTATGATTTATCTGCTTAATAATAAAATTATTGAGCAGAAACAAAAGTTTAAAATAGTTTAAAATGGTTTCTGCCTAACAATAAAATTATTAGATGGAAAATAGTAAGCCGCCTGATAACTATTAAATATTTCTTTATTATATTTCACGTTTTCTATTTATTGCTAATCATCAATTTAGTCTTATTCTAGTTTTATAAAAAAATATATTAATATTTAGAACACAGCAATGCATGAAAGTATACGTCAAGAATTAGAAGAAAACCGTGTTATGATTAGTAACAGAACTCAAACTATTTACGATAAATTTACAGCAAATAATAATATTACAGCAATATGGAATTGGGATTCAAAGTCCTAAACATTTTGCCAAAATTGCTGAAATGCTAAGTTTTAAGCTAGTTTTGCCGATTTGGGGTATAGCTTGTACCAAAACTACCAGATTTGGGTCTCATCACTCACTAGTTATGATATTAAACTAATTATTTTTAGTGTAGTAAAGTAAAATATATAAAATCTTATTAAATTCAGTCGTTAACTCTACCTTAGTAAAGATTACTTTTATATATAATTTA